CATTCTCTATTCTGTGAATGAGATCTCAAGTTCCGACGAGCTTTGCGGATGTCTGCTTGTAGCTCTCAATGAACTACCACGGTGCTGTGGTATTTCATCCAGTCGTCCTGTCAGTAAGTATCTCTGCCTGCACACAGATGCACTGACAGGTCTGCAGGAGACCTCCATGACACCAATGATCTGCTGATGCAATGCTCTAGAGCAGTGGTTCTCAACCTTCCTAATGCCGCGACCCTTTAATACAGTTCCTCATGTTGTGGTGACCCCCCCAACCATAAAATTATTTTCATTGCTACTTCATAACTGTAATTTTGCTACTATTGAGTCATAATGTAAATATCTGATATGCAGGATGTATTTTTATTGTTACAAATTGAACATAATTAAAGCATAGTGATTAATCATAAAAACAATTAGAATTATAATTCATGAAGTGTCGTTTTACTTCCAATATTGCTGCTTTCAACACAGTAGCTGCTCTTTACACATGTGTGACTGGTCCACATAAGTACATTATGGCGCCAACCCTGTCACATACACCTGTATTTGTACAGGGTGTATGTCATGGGGTTGGCGCGATGTCATCACACCGGGTACTCGTACGTGGGCGTATCTGCATGTGGGCGGACCTGCCTGGAGACGGATAGAGGAGCGGTAGCTTGGTTCCTAAGGCCATCGGAAATGTGTGTTTTCCGATGGTCTTAGGCGACCCTTGTCGTTTGACCCCCCAAAGGGGTCGTGACCCACAGCTTGAGAACCGCTGCTTTAGAGGCTCCAGAAACAAAATCTTTTGTATGCTCCCTTTTTTTTTTTTTTTTTTTTTTATATATAGTTTTTATAGCTTCAAGGGTTTTTGGCTCTAACAGAATTCAGTGGGAGCGCCTGAAAAATGAGCGACTGCGCATGGAACTCACTTTCTTGCTTTTTGGAATCCTCAGGTCCCCAATCTGGTGCTGGTTGGCTCTCAACCAATTGCCTGAAATATGGCTGGACTGGGCCAATCAAGCATCTGGCTGTGTGCCTACTTTTCTCTTTCTTTTTCTAAGGCTGGCCATACATTATACAATTTTTCCTTTTAGATTTACCAAAGTCATATAAACACTTTCAATTTGTTTGCTAGAAGTCAGGCCCTTGCAGCACATAGTTGAAGGTAAATCTAAAGGAAATTGAATAAGAAAATTGCATAATGTGCGGCCAGTTTAAGTCAGAAGAAAAAAAAAGTGTTTGATATTAAGTTGACACTGTTACTTGGTAGACCATTGCTTGTACTTTAGCTATCTTCCCTCCAAGAAGGTTTCGCTAATTACTCAATCATTGATGCTTGTAGTTATTTGTACTATACTTCCTGCATGCAGGCTCCCGCTGCTTTGAGAACACACTGTTCTGTACATGCTGGCATGTTGTATACCTACTAAATGTGTGAACTAAATGTGTGAATGCAGCCAAAATATGTTTTTGGGCAAATAAAGAGGCTTATGGCTTTTGACTGGTGATAGATATATATATATATATATATATATATATATATATACATATATATATTTTTTTTTTTTACAAATTACAAAACTATGAAGTGGTTTCCCTTTCAAAATATAAATTTAATATGATGCTCTTTGGACTGGATCTAAGCAATCATAAAGATTCTATGAAGTGCAAACAGTGTAGAGGGTAAATTACTGAAACCTGACACTGGCAATGGAGAGCCTGCTCAATTCTTAATATGCCACAGTGACTGTATTGTCAGATTTGTAATTCTGGACGGCACAGTGATGTAAAAGCTCTGAAACTTAGAGTGGTTGTAAAGCCTAAACATTTTTTACCTTCATGAATTCCCTGCATGAAGGTAAAAAAAAATGTTTCAGTATGTGTATCTCCCCCTCCTATACTTACCAGAGTCATTGGTTTTTGCTGCTGTCATTTATATACTGTGACTGGGGTGGAGCCAAGTTTTGCTATCTGTGTCTATAGATACAAGCCATGCAGCTCGGGATTGAGCCTGAAAGTGTGCCACAATAGAAAGCTGATTCTTATGGTGGCATACCAAGAAGGTGAGCCAGGAGCGCTTGCAGGGACCTGAGAAGGGGATTGGGCTGCTTTGTGGAATACCATTGCACAGAGCTGGGAAATATAACATGTTTTTAAAAGAGAAAAAAATTGGCTTTACAAATGCTTCAAGTCGGCTATATATCGTACATTAAAATCTAATTGTACAAATTGCTTTATCAAAACATGTTAGGGTTTGTCTTGAACCATTCTCTCCATTTCATAGATTAGGCTGCACTGTATGCTTGTTAGAATCCAATTAAACAATCTACCTTCGCTTTACTAACTACTAACATTTTACAAGGGATAATACTGAATACAAATGTTCCCTAGGATTTTACATTAAAATAAAATGCATTGCTGCATATGTATTTAAGAAGGACATATTTAATGTGCAACTCCAGGCAAAACGCTAAGTGCTAATTAATAGGTATATGTCTACCATTTTACCTGCTAAAAGCATTTGTAATTCTGCACAGCTAGGCAGGTGATTCATCTTCTGATTTAGATATAGAGCTTCCTGTGTCACCTCCAGGCTACTTGGTGGACAAAGCATAAGCCTCACTATTTCTGTTGGTTTAGCGGTAAGATGATCCAGGAAGATGTGCCGTAAAGCTGGCCATAGATAGGTTGAAATGTTTCCGGTTTGGCAGGGACAGGCCAGATTTTGATCCACGTGTGGCATCCCTTGCTCAACAGAAGTTGATCAGGATTGTTGGTGGGGGGAGAACGTTCTCGATCAGCGGCTGCAGCCAATGGGAGAGTTTCCATTGTCAGAATACAGTGTCTCAGCAGGGAGGATTCCTCTATAAACCTTGCATGTGTGGATGTAGGAATCTATCAATTGCCAGCCTAATACTCACGACTGTGCAGAGGTGTGTGTATTCTAAAACTGACTACATAAATACAATATTATCGGCAGGTAATATGGAAAACGTAAACCTATTTAATATCTTTAGGACCTTGAAATCCAATTGTGAAAACATGCGATCGCGTATTCAGGTGCCATTCATTTCAATGCCACCTGAAAAACGCAGGGCGTTCTGGAACAGTTTTAGGCATTGCACGTACAGTGATTCTGTTTGCGCAAATGCAACGCATTTGTCATGTGGAAAACCACATCGTGATCGTGGCAAAAAGGCCCTGCCTCATTGAAATGAATGGCACCTGAACATGCCATCGCGCGGTTTCAAATTGCTTGCAGAATTGTGGCGATTCCGCCCGCGATTTGAAATGCCCTAGTGTGAATGGAGCCTTAATCTGCGTTTTACTGCCCAGTGACAGGTTGTCCAAGAAAAAAAAAATTCACTACAAAATGCAAACTGCATTGGTTTTTGCATTTATTTCTTGCATTTATTTATTTTTTTTTTTTTTTCCTCTAAATCAGGCCTGTAATGCATTGAAAATGCAGCAAAAACGCACACTTATTACTTTTTTATGCATTTTTTTTTTTTTTTTTTTTTTATTGCGCCAGCAACCAGCTGGCCAAAAAGTTTCAAAAACCACGTCAAAAGTGCATGCGCAAAACGCACTGCAAAACCCAGACTGCATTGGTGTGAACCAGGCCTGAAATGCATTGAAACAGCAGCAAACCGCCCGAATGTTAAATTTTTGATGCGTTTTTAATCTACTGAGCAACAAGTTGGCCAAATTTTTTTTTTTTCAAAAAACACAGCGCATCAAAACAAAATGCGCATACAAAACTGACAAAACGCAAACTGCATTGGTGTGTACCAGGCCTGAAATGAATTGAAAATACAGCAAAAACGCTTACAAAACGTGTTACGTTTTTTTTGTGTTTTTTGCTTTTAATCTGCCCAGCAACAAGTTGGCCAAAAAAAAAAAAAATGTATAAACAAAAGTTCAAAACGGACAAAACGCAAACTGCATTGATGTGAACCAGGCCTCTGAAGAAGGGGGTTCATCTCTCGAAACGCATCAGCTATTTATTTAGGGCACAGTATTGCATTGGACTGATATTGCAGACCACCTGTTCTGTTTTTTTTTATTCTCTTTTGGTTTGTGAGTATATATTTGTTTTTTTCAATAAATACGTGGTGTACCAAGGTAATGCACGATGAGTGTGCCCTTTTTTTGCTTTTGTTTATCTGAAACGCATTGAAAATGCATCTGAATCACATACGTGCTGCAGTTTTGATGTGTTTGAGTCACATGACCTATGAAAAATGCACACTAAACATGGCAAAATCGCGGCAAAATCATGGGTAAAATGACAGCTCAGGATACTCTGTCTGTCCCGCCTCCTATAGCTTCAGTTGTAGGACAGACCCAGGATGTCCTGAGCTGTCATTCTTCGAACACTGCCTGGTTGGGAGTTACAGACCAGTAGTCTGACTCCGCCCACTACAGTGAGCAGGGAAGAAATACATCACAGCTTCCTGGAGGAAGAACTACAGAGGGGATGTGCCAAGACCAAAGGCTGGGGGAATAGCAGCCACCGGTCTTACAAACAGGAAACCACAGGGGATTAACCGTTTGATTTGAAAATCATCAGCCTATTTCAGAACAACTGAGTGAACCAGAAGATGGAGGACATATTCAGTGAAGGATCAGCAGCAAAGACATGGAAAAAAGTTTTTGCCTGGAGTTCTACTTTAAAGCCAGAGACCACAATGGGAATAATATTTTCAAAATGAGATCTGCAACTGCAAATATGTTCAAATCGTTACAGCAAAATTTCTCTTATGATGTTTTGCTGGTTTATATTATAAATTGACAATGTGAAAGGAGGCAGATTTCTGAGTGTTTGAATTTGCCATGATCACCAGTAGAGGGCACTCACGTATAATTTTTTTTCTCTATTTTAATACGATTCTGAACAGGAGCTAACGAATTCTCAGAAAAGCGGTGGAAATCTTCTTCAGATGATGTATGAAAAGCCGGAACGCTGGTCCTTTACCTTTCAGTCCTATGCCTGTCTCAGCCGCATACGTGCCCAACTAAAAGCGTTTGGTGGGAAATTAAGAGAAGCAGAAAACCCTGTGCTGTTTTTTGAGCGTTCGGTCTACAGTGACAGGTATGGAAAACATGTAGTTTAAAGGGTTACTCCAACAAATTCTGATATTAGTTTTTGGTAACTGTAACCCTTTTTATGCCTTTTTTTTGGGGGCTTCAGACTAAAATCAGTGTGCTTCGGTTTTCCGTGCATAACTGCCAGGAACACTAACTGGGGATATCACCCCTTTATTGAAATCCTATTATAATTCTGCTGTAGAGAATGCAGCAGGAAAAGTAGGTGAGAGCAGAAATAGAGGCTGGATATGTTGCTGCCAGAGTCATACACTGATCAGCCATAACATTATGACTACTGACATAAAGAGAATAACATTAACTCATTACAATGGAATCTGAGAGTTGTTATGGTTTTATTAGGCAGCAAGTAAACATGTTGTCCATGGGTAAGCATAAGGATTTAAGTGACTTTGACAGAGGCTAAATTATAATTTTTAGACAAGTACTGACCCATGTCCACAGCCATAAGTGCCTACAATAGGCAAGTGAGCATCCTAACTGGATAGAAAGGTGTGTGTGTGTGTAAGTGATGGTACCAGGACACAGTATGGGAAGAAGGCAAGCCGGCAGAAGAAGCATGATGCTTTGGGCAATGTTCTGCTGGGAAGTCATGGGTCCTGCCATTCATGTGGATGTTGCTTAACATGTACCACCTACCTAAACATTTTTGTTGACCAAGTACACCTCTTCATGGAAACTGTATTGCCTGATGGCAGTGGCCACTTTCATTAGGATAATACACACTGCCACACTGGAAACAGGTTCAAGAATGGTTTGAGGTGGCCTCCAAACTCTTCAGATCTCAATCCAAATAAGCATCTGTGGGATGTGGTGGAAAGTCTAATGCATCCACCTTGAAACTTAAAGGATCTGCTATTGACTGCTTGCTTGGTGCCAGATACCACAGCATACCTTTTTTAGATGTCTAATGGAGTCCATGCCTTGACAAGTCAGAGCTGTTTTGGCAAAAAATGGTGTACCTACTCAATATTAGATGGGTGGTCATAATGTTGTGGCTGATCAGTGTATACAGTGGGTATAGAAAAGAATTGCCTCCCTTTTTAAAATCATCCCATTTTGTTGCTTGGCAGCCTGAAATGAAGACCGTTTTTGTTCAGCTGTATTTACTCTGCAACCTATACCATCCAAGTGAAAGATATAACACAAACATGTCAGGTTAAAAAAAAATTCAAAAACAGAATCCGTTGGTTGGAAAATGGATCATGGTTTAAATCGCCCCCCCCCCCCCCCCCATGGAGGGGGTAAAGCCTTCTGGAGCTCAAGTGGTTAATGTAGTTCAGAGACACTGACAAGTTTAGTTTAACAAAAAGAAATATGCAAAAGGGATATTACTTAATGCTAACCCAACATGTCCCTTGTGCTGCTACCTCCTGCATTCCTAGAAATCTTCATCCTCCGACCCCCACCCTTTCAAAGCAATGTAATAGAGTAGTTGGGTGGAAAAGGTGATGAGTGCCTCTCACAGCTTTGATCTAATAATCCCTGCTGTACTTGATGATTATGGTATCCGAGGGGTTAACATGATTGAGCTGTGGCAGGCTCTCATCAAGAGTGACTACTATGCTCCCCCTTTCTGCCCACTACCTCCATTGATACAAGCTGTGCTATAGCTTTCATTAATGAAGGAGGGGTGGATAATGGACGGCTCCACCACCTTCAAGTATAGAATGCATCTTCATTGAAAGAAGCTGTACTATAGCTTCCATGAATGAAAAAGGTGGGCATAATTAACACTCTGGATGAGTGCATATGACAGGTCACTTTATAGCCTATCCATATGTGGTACCTAATTTGTTTTTGCATTGTAGTCCTTGTAAAATACCCTCATACTTTCTTTTCAGGTACATCTTTGCTTCCAATCTGTACGAAGAAGAATGTCTGAATGAGACAGAATGGACGGTATATCAGGACTGGCATGAGTGGATGAATTCCCAGTTCTGTGCTGATCTTGAATTGGATGGAATTATTTATCTTCGAGCTGATCCAGAGGTAAATGGAGGCTAGGCTCGCAGAAATTTGGGAGGGAGAACAAACTAGACTTGTCATTTAAAGACAACCAGTCACAAAGCCAGATGGTTCACTGCTGTTCACTGTCAAGTGTTGCAGCCATGATGGTCCTTGAAGGATAGGTAAATAAGTGAAGCTTCACTACCCTGACATTAGTTCCCAGCATGTGAGCTTAGAAAAAATGAATAAAGACAAAATGACTAATTTGGGGGGTCATGGCTGCCATATGTCGAACTTGGCTTCTGTGTGCGGGATATGCTAGGATGTGGCTACTCGGCTGGAACATTTTCCACGAGGCGTGGGAGATGTTGAGATGTGACTACTCCTGCTAGAACATGGCCATGAGGTGTGTGATACGCAGGATGTGACTATGCTGGAACATGACATTCAGGTGTGGGATGTGCTTGGAAGTGGCAGCCATGTGTAGTGGTACCTATATGCCCGCTACTCCTAAGAATCTTGGTGATAAAAGAAGTTCCCATGTAGCTCTTTTAGGGGTTGGTTGGTTTAAGAGGATTTATGTGTAATGTCTTCAATTGCTATTCAGGAGCCTTCTCCATCCTACAGCAATTATCAACTGTATCACAGATTTATGTGTAAACGCCTATGTGTGCATTGACACAAAGGGGGAGATTTACAAAAACTGGAGCACTCAAAAAATGGCTACCATGTACAGCTACACCAGATTTTAACTTAAGCTTGTTCAGTTAAGCTTTGACAAAAACCTGGAAGCTGATTGGTTTTACCAGATTTTGCACTTTAAGAAATCTCCCCCATAGGCTAACATAGTGTTTAAAGGAGGCTGTAAAAGCGGTTTTTGACACACTGCATGCATGAGACCTTAATAATATCTACAACATATTAACTTTTTCTTTACAGAAATGTCTGAGCAGGATTCATACCCGTGGAAGAGATGAAGAACAAGGAATTCCAATGGAATACCTAGAAAAACTTCATTACAAGCATGAGAGCTGGCTTCATCACAGGAACATGAAGTTAGTTCCCTCCATTCTCCAACACTGTACAATTATTTGGTGTCACACTGGAAGGAAATTTGATGCTTCCATTTTTTACATGTTATCACACCTGATCATGTGGTTAGGATACTTTATTTACTGTTAAATTACTTTTCAATTAAATTCATTACTGTGAGTCGATTGCACATCCTGGCATTGGGGCAGATGTAGACAGATTCTAGGAGACAAGTATGCAGGTGAACCAGATAACCATGGATATTGGTGGAAGCATGTCATTTCAAGCCATTTACAAATTCCTGTTGGCTGCTGGGTGAGGCTGACCAGCTCCCGAAATATTTCTTATACTCATATGAATAGTACCAGCATATTTTGTAGAAACCTCTCAATCCAACTCCTGCCCTTAAGCAAGCTACAGTTTCATGTCCCTATCAGTCAGTTACATAATAACCTACAGAAAGGCCAGTTGGTGTATCATCTTGTTTTTGGTTGGTATAAAGAAGCCAGATGAATATATTAACCACTTACCACTACTTATTTGCATATACTACCCTTAAATTAAAGCCCAAAGCCAGGAAACTAAAATTCTCCCTTGCAGTGGTCCTACATCCACATTGCTAGATTGGTCCCCACAACCTCTCCTCTCCCGTGCTTCATCATCAAGCCCAATGTAGGGTACATAGTCCTGCATTGGATGTAGAGGAACAGCCTACTGCTGGAGCATGGGGAAGCAGAGTGCTTTTACCCTAGACCTAAATGAGCATATAACCTTCGTAGTTTGGATGCAGCCCCACTACGAGGGACAATTTTCAGGTTTCATGGAGTGGGGATTAAAGTCTGAGGAAGGGGTAAGGTTAGGTCCTCTGTCAGGTTTTCATTGTTTGTTTTTATTTTCCCTTATTGAAGCACTTTTTGCTTACTTTCCACTTCAGGGACAACACCAGAACTGGGGTGAAATCTTCCCACAGGGCACATTGATACCTGATGAAAGCTGTGTCCCTTTACCTACTATTTACAAGACCCAATCAGTTTTGCATTGAGTTTCCCTTTAATTTTTCTAGCCCTTTATTTTTGTATAGCTCTATGGTTTGGTACTAGCTTCTATAGCTGGCCATACATCAATCACAATTTGCCCTGTTCAGCAGGGACTGACCATATTTTGATCCATTATTGGCCACTGTGGTTGAACAGAGGTCTTTCTACTAATCGGCTTCTCTTCTTCAACCACCTTATTGTAAAACTTCCAGTCAATTAGCGCAGCACCTATGCTAAAGCTTTCAGCACTGATCGGTATACGTATTCTGATAGTAGGGAAGTCAGTCCACTGTCAAGAGTACACTCACACAGTGGGAAGGAATCAGTCTGTGCATAGGGAAATTGGGAATTCTTCTTTCATCCTTCTTTCTTCTTTTTTTCTTTGTGCTGGTTGATCGAAAAAAAACGGACTCATTTAGGGCCAGCTACTGCCTTGTTTATGAAGAGTACATAAAGCAGTGGGTTGGTGTGACAAGCTGCACCCAATCCTTCATAAGTTTCGGCTACCATAAGCCGTTTTGTGATTACGATCCGTTGATGCATGACACTGCATTTAACACTATTTTACAGAGCAAGCAAATAATACTTTATCCTCTAAAGGTTATCTGACCAGTCTGAATAATTTTTTATTTATTCTTTTTAGGACAGATTTCGCATATCTGCAAGAAATACCCATCTTGACACTTGATGTGAATGAAGATTTTAAGCATGATAAGCAGAAACAAGCATGCATGATTGAAAAGGTGTGTTAAAACGTCTGTGGTGTTTGTTCTGATTAATATATGCTGCACGCTTTATCTGATATGGCAGTCTTCCTCTGAGCAACACTGTCATTTTAAAGTAATTCTTATTTATTGGTTTCAAAGTCTGCAGAGGTTTTCTTGTATCAGTGCTTTTCTTGTTATCAGATGTCCTCTTGTGACCTTCCTATATCATCCAGTCTATTACGCAACGTGATGGATTTTCTCAAAGGACATAACAATGGAAAATTCCTCTGCTATTAATCTGAGAATCTAAATTCATTTTTGTAACCAGCACATTTTTATAGGTTTTGTATGTTTCTACAGCAATCTTGACAGTTATTCTTTCTATAAGAGCATAGCCTTCACCCTCATTCCTCATATCTAAATAGCGTGTCTGTCTGTCAGCATGCCCTTAAGACCTCCCTGTTCCAGTCAGTTGACCACCACTGATTTTAAGCATCAAAAGGAGGGTTCTTTTTTAGATGCTGTAACCTTTTTAGTAAATCTGTTGTACCGTCTGTACTGTTCCTGTTCAGTATTGCTTGCTGTGCAACAGAATTGATAAATGTGTTTGCCCTTGTTCCTTGTGGTTTCACTGTGAAAAAGATGGAAGTTTAATCCTGGTTATATTTTGTCTTCCTTCTTTCCTCATTCATCATCATGCCAATGAAAGTTTTAACTATAATCTTTTCCATGTTCATTTCATAGTTATTTTATACTTTGTGTCATAATCTCTGTGCTTCCCTATGCAATGCAGGCATACCATGGCTAAGGTGAGGGGACAGCAGGCGCTGTACGTATCTTCGTGAAAACATAACCACATGCTTCCGTAGTATTTAAAAGACTTGGCCCTAAAAAAATCAGTGGGTTGGCTCTTGGGGGAGTTATGCAAATATCAAAATTCCCTAATGTATAAATACACTGCTCAAAAAAATTAAAGGAACACTTTGAAAACACATCAGATCTCAATGGGGGAAAATATGCTGGATATCTATACTGATATGGACTGGGTAATGTTTTAGGAATGTAAGGATGCCCCATCGTTTGATGAAAATGATCAACCTACAGAGGACTGAATTCAAAGACACCCCAAAAATCAAAGTGAAAAAATTATGCATCAGGGTAGTTCATTTTGCTGAAATTTCATTGCAGCAACTCAAAATAGTACTCAGTAGTTTGTATGGCCCCCACTTACTTGTATGCATGGCTGACAACATTGGGACATGCTCCTAATGAGACAACGGATGGTCTCCTGGGGTATTTCCTCCCAGATCTGGACCAGGCCATCACTGAGCTCCTGGACAGTCTGAGGTGCAGCCTGGTGGTGTCGGATGGACTGAAACATGATATCCCAGAGGTGTTCTATTGGATTTAGGTCAGGCGAGCGTGGGGGCCATTCAATGGTATCAATTCCTTAATCCTCCTGAAACTGGCTGCATACCCTTGCCACATGAGGCCAGGCATTGTAATGCACCAGGAGGAACCCAGAACCCACTGCACCAGTGTAAGCTCTGACAGTGGGTCCAATGATTTCATCCTGATACCTCATGGCAGTCAGGGTGCCATTGTCTAGCCTGTAGAGGTCTGTCTCTCCATGGATATGCCTCCCCAGACCATCACTGACCCACCAGGAAAACGGTCATGCTGAATGATGTTACAGGTAGCATAACATTCTCCATGGCTTCTCCAGACCATTTCCCGTCTGTCACGTGTTCAGGGTGAACCTTCTCTCATCTGTGACGAGGTTTTGGAGGAGTCCCATACATGGAGGAGCCATTGTAGAGATCCTAAAGCTGTTTTGGCCCTGTGCGTGGCGAAACAAGGAGGTGAGCGGGCATAGCAGCCATTTTTTAGCAACCTTCCTGGCACCTGATGTCGCCTATTGTTCACCATCACAAAGGGTTCATTATCTGACCGAATTTAGGTGTTGTTCACCGCACAGGACTTTTTATTTGTATTTCGTGTTCAATATACGCATTTTATTGTTATGCATTTTTTTTTTTTTGTGGTTTGATGCACATGTTTATTTACATGTGATTGTTTATTATCACGTATGCACCGATTAGGTGCATTTTTTGCTATTTTTGTGTGACACATTGTTTTTGTTTTGTATGTGGATTGTGATTTATACCTTCAGTGCATTTTTTTGGGGGGTTGTAGCACTTGTATGCAGTCCTATTTTGGACTCCTTGTCATACGGTTTAGTTTGTCTTTTACATCACTTTTTAGATCCAGTTAGGGTGTTTTTGGGCACTATTGATTTATATTTCTTGGTACTTTTTATTTATTATATGTACACACGCGTTTGTGTGAGTGTTGTTGACACCTGTCATCACTTCATATATATTTTATTATTTTCTATATATTGCTTTATTTTTGTATTTGTTTTTGGGTTCCGCATGGTATTAGCGCCACATTTTTTGGAATATTTACATATAGATCATTAGGTACATGATTGGATGTTGGCAGCTGTACCTCTTCTACTATTGTAGAGACTTAGATAGGAGCGCAGGAGGTTCTTTACACATTTTGTACTAACAGGTGGCATAATGTTCTCCATGGCTTCTCCAGACCCTGTCACATGTGCTCAGGGTGAACCTGCTCTCATCAAGCTGTTGGCGCCATATAAATCCCGTTTTATAATAATCTGTGAAAAGCACAGGGCGCCAGTGGCAGACCTGCCAATTTTGGTGTTCAATGTGTGCAAATGTCAAACGAGCTCTATGGTGCTGGGCAGTGAGCACAGGGCCCACTAGAGGCCTCAGACCACCCTCATGAAGTCTGTTTCTGATTGGTTTGGTCAGAGACATTCACACCAGTGGCCTGCTGGAGATCATTTTGTAGGGCTCTGGCAGTGCTCATCCTGTTCCTCCTTGCACAAAGGAGCAGATACCGGTCCTGCAGATGGGTTAGGGACCTTCTACAGCCCTGTGCAGCTCTCCTAGAGTAACTCCCTGTCTCCTGGAATCTCCTCCATGCTCTTGAGACTGTGTTGGGAGACGCAGCAAACCTGGCAATGGCACATATTGATGTGCCATCCTGGAGGCGTTGTGACTGCTCGTGCAACCTCTGTTGGGTCTAGGTATCTCCTCATGCTACCAGTAGTGACGTTGACCTTAGCCAAATGCAATACTAGTGAAAAACAGTCAGAAAAGATGAGTATGGAAAAAAATGTCAGTGTCCTCCCACCTGTAAAAACATTCCTGTTTTGGGGGTCATCTCATTGTTGCTCATCTAGTTCACCTGTTGCTCATTTCATTAACACCAAAGCAGCTGAAACTGATTACCAACCCCCTCTGCTATTTAACTGACCAGATCAATATCCCAGGAGTTTAATTGACTTGATGTTATGCTCTGATTTAAAAAGTGTTCCTTTTAATTTTCTTGAGTAGTGTAGATGTTAGTCTGGAGTAGTGGGGGCTCTTAGGTGGACTGTATTTGTGTACCGTCCTAAGTGATGCTCACATGTGATGCTGAGCCTCCATGATAACTAAAATCCAATAAATGAAAGTGGTGACAGCAATGCTGGGGAGGAGGAAAGAGTTGGATGATGCTGGATGTTCTCCCGCCAGGAAATGAGGCCAGCACTCTGACTTTACTGCAACCTCTAATGCACACAGTTCACAGTGAAAATCAGAGTCAAGTAATTTCAATTATAGGAGCGGAGCCTGTACAACTATGCAAGGCTGGCACTCTGCTCTAAGAGTAGTTTTTAATCTTTTACACCATATCCAAACTTTGAGTTTCACTTTAATATTCTATATTTGTGTATGCTTCTGCAGACTAATATTTTATTGAGCCAAGTTTAAAGCATTTCTATGTTTGTTTGCAACGTTAAATAACACAAATGTTTTGTTCATTACAGGTTAGAGAGTTTTTGAGCACGTTATAACATTGTGAAGACCCGCGTGTTTTGCAGACGCTGTTACTCTCCATATTAGAAGACTGAATACGCACCACAGTTTTTACACTTTGTATACTCTCTAAAGCTGACCACACACCTTACAATCTCTACATCCTCCTTTACCCTAGGTTCACATCTGTGAGAGTGGTGCTGCTGTGGATCCGCACGAAAATCTGTGCAGCCGCACCACCCGCACAGAGAAATGCGGACCCGTGGGTGGGTGCCATTAGTTCTAATGGCATGCCACCCACACTGGAAAACGCAACTGTACTGGGAACCGAGGTTCCTGTGCGGGCTGCATTTTTGGAAGAAGTGCAGGGACTTCTTCCCTGCGTGGCACGGGAGTCCATTCAAATGAATGGGCTCTCGTGCCCCTGCAAAATGCAACCCGCAAGGCCGCATAGATGTGAATCTCCTAGATTGTAAGCTCCAAGGAGCAGAGCTCTCCTTTCCCTCTTGTATTGAACTGTATTGTTGCTGTATTGTCTCCCTTTATATTGTAAAGTGCTGAGCAAACTGTTGGCGCTATATAAATCCTGTATAATAACTACTGGGGGTAAGATATACCAGTAATGACGTGGTATCTTCTGAAGTTGATATAAACTTTAGGCAGGCCCTCACATTAAAGAGTTTTACAATCAGGTTGTAGCATGTATGGTCAGCTTTAAGAAGTTGTGCCGTATCGCACTGCTTTAAAAAAGACATTCAGTTTGGTTACATATGGCGGTGTGTGTGTGTGTGTGTGTGTGTGTGTGTGTGTGTGTGTGTGTGTGTGTGTGTGTATTTTTTAATTTAAAACAGTTGCTCTTAAATTGACCTTTTTCTATCAGTTCTATAAATCAGTAAACATTTGTAATTTCTTGCAGAACTGGTAATGCTGGAGTCTTCAACAAATAGTGTTGAGCTATACCAGAGTATTCAAAACCCATATATGTGCTGGGATCGGCTCACTAGAAAGCATATTCCCAGAAACATGCAGGGTATTGCACTGCCAAATGTGTTAATTTTTCCTCACTAACTTCACTGATCTCTGTATTCAAGGTGCCTTTTTTCTTTATTTTATTTCCTTACAATAGACGTCCAGATTTCTAGCAATTTGGCAATTCTCTTCCTGAGAGCAGCCCATTACGTCCTGTAGGAATTCAGGGATGCAGGAACAAGTATAGAATACTCACCACTGGAGAAGTGCATTTTCTGCCCTATTCCAAATTCACAATGCTTGTTCTCAAGGGTTAGGATCTATACACACGTTTTAGGATCTCGATGTTGAGCAGAAAGCAGTGAATCAATATCAAGGGGCTGCTATTGCTGACCAGATTCTGGAAATGTTAGTTGTCTGGCTGACATGTTGACCTATTGGTTTCAGTATGGTGAGTCACTGACATGGAACAAGGATGAAGATTGGAAAAGTCACACGTCTCCTTATCTGACCATTTGTTCTGGGTCATTGAAGGATTAAAGTAACTGGCCATAAATGCCTTGTTTTAGTTATTTATTTTCATCAGTCATAGGGCTGATAGGAAAAAGAAAAAGTGAATGGATTCTCCCATGCACACATACAGGTTACATGGAGGAATCCTCCTTGCTGTGCTTTTATAGTCTGACAGTGGGACTCCTTCACCGTCAGAATACACTTGTCAGTGGCTGATCAAGGAGAGTTTTTCAACAGAAGTCGATTGTTAGATTGACTTCTGCTGAGCAGGAATGGCTATAGATGGATTGAAGATTGGCCATTCTCTGCTGAACTGACCAATTTTTGATCTATCTGCTGTATGGGCGGTGTAGAAGTCGACAAGACCATTGGAAAGCTAGTATTTTCAAGAACTATCATTGGTAGCAGTCTTCTGGTTTCAAATTTTGATACACTCAGATTTAAATTCAGTCATTATGTGGCGGAAAAAATCATCTAACTGAAGTGCACTGAACTTTATCTGCAAGATACAAGTTGCTGAATGTCTAAATTAGAACAGTACTCTTTAAAATGGCATTCGTTAACACAAGTCTAATGTTCATTTTTAAAAAATAAATTTTAATGTAATACACTCTGTAGAAAGTGCTATTGAGTATAAAATGCTGTTAGGAACTTTTTGGTATACCTGTTACCCAAACTCGAAAATACATGAAAACATAATTCCATTAATGAATGTAGTCTGTATATAAAGCCTATGCAAACACATAGAGAAAATATTTTCACTTGAAAAGATGAACAAAGTCAAACAGGCTTATTTAATAAGCCAAAGTATGGTATCCCATAGCTGTGTATCAGAATCCTACTAGGGATCTCTACAGAAAAGTAACATTGAATGTGGCTTACTCTACGTGGCACACCTAATTTTCTGCAAAACACAGTAGGAATGTTTATCTTTTACTTAAAACCTGAGTGGTATAACCACTTCCCCTAAGTAAGCCTTCTCTGTACAGGATACACATCTAAGCAATACGCATTTCTAGGAAAATGTATATTCCAGCATATTTATAATGAACTTTTATGAACCATAGCCTTATTCACACTGGCATTGCCAAACCTGCATTTATATGCTTTTAGAGAGCATTTCTGAAGCATGTAAATACATGTAATGATTTTACAAATCGTGCTATTCACACTAAGCATTTAGCTGAGATTACAGAAATTATAATTCTGTGCTACCAGGATCCATTTAGAGACACTATGGTTGGTTTAGCCACATTTATACACCTTTAAGGCAGGAACATCTAAATGCAGAAAATGTGATTGGGGAGGCATAAATGTTTGTACTCCCCAGATTATTTAGGAATGCCAGTGTGAATGAGGCCTTGTGCTGCACTGTTAATGTTTGTGGGGGGGTTTTTGTGTGTGGTTTTTTTTTTTTTTTTTTTTTTTTTTTTTTTTTTTTTTTTTTTTTTTTTATATATATATGTTTGCATTACTTTTATTATCTTAAATCAGTGGAAACAAGTTGTGTATATAGATGCAGAAAAGAATAGAGTTAAACCAACTCAGACTTTTAAAGGGAATATGTCAGAAAATGAGAACTGTTGTTTTTTTCCCCGCTCTAGGGACAATTTAGATTTGGCTGCAAACTTGTTTGATTCTAACTTTCAGTAGGCGGTAAAGCAAAAATGAGGATAATGGCCCCAAGGGTGTAAACCTTTTAAAGAACACCTGTCAGGGGAGAAATATTTGGAACTCCCATTGCTGGTCCCCCTTTAAGAATTTCTCCATTGCCTGATTATGTCTGACCGGTTGACATGTCTTTCATTATGGCAGTCACCCATCACAATCCGCATGCAGTAAATGAAAGTGAGAGTTAAGTTGAAACAACTTGCCTCTGTACTAGTTATAGATCAGTAAAATATTGAAGCCAAATTTTGTCCTGACTAAAATGTTCAGAGGGAAAGGTCAGGATTGCAGCCAACAGCTCTTTTGTGGCAGATGTACTTTTAAAAAAAACTGCTCAGCAGTGGCATCTTTCATATGTACACTGACAGCTTCCCTTTAAATGGCCTAAAACTGTTATGTGTATGTGACTCTTTGAGTGTGTTTTTACAATATTGTGAAAAAAACATTGTGTTGTAATAAAATGTAAAAACAAAACCAAAAACTGATTACTGTTTTTCTTGGACAGCTTTTTATTTTACGTATATGTGACAGGGATCTCGGTTTGTACATTGATATACAAGCTTGTGGTTTGTCATTTCTTTACATTTATTAATTCTAACTTGAAGAGGCCAGTTCTAAAGACTAGAACACACACCAGCCTCCTAACAAACAAGCGTTGCCGTACACTTTAAAGGCTATATTTTATAAAGCCGTGAACACTGCTTTCACCAATCACTTGTGGTGAATCATTTTTGCTTTTATTTAATTTGATGCACCTGGAAGATTCATCTGCAGTAAATATTTGATCAATGAGAAATTCACTGCTTTTATAATGTAGCGTCCTCCTAGAGGAGCGTTAGCTCCTAGGGAAATATAGTTGGCTCTACTGCAATCAGAGAAGCAGGGGTTGATTAATTAGAGCTGCTCAGTGTCTCTCAGGCTGCTGCTCTTTTACTTCACAGTAGGAAGAATGGGCATGCCAGCCAATCCCTGGGGATGTGTGCCCATTTGTTGGTGAGAGTGCCCATAGTCTGAGGCCTGAGCAGCAGGGTGCAGAGGTCCTGTATCCAGTCCTGCTGGAGGGGCTCTACTCCCGGGGCAGATTTCTAGAAGAAGCGATTAGGAAGACACAGAGGTCCTAGTTAGGCTTGCAAATAGGTCTAGCTAAGCTAGAGTCCAGGGATTAAGGTGGGTCTGGAGAAGCTCAGCGGAAAGAGACCAGGAGAAAATTGTTGGAAGAGTCCAGCTGTCCTATGCTTGTGTGAGTCTACACCTTCCTCACTAGGAAGAGCTTCGGCAGGAGGCAACCGATGATCCTGTAGCTGTAAGCGACCCCAGTGCAGAAGAGTTGGTGAGCGTGTGCAGGGATGTTTAATTTCTATTGACAGACGCCCATGATGTGTAGTTCTAGGCAGGTAGTTTTTTTTCTAAACCTTTAGCCCTGCTGTGGGCAAGCAGCAAAGCTCACCTGTCAGGTAGAAGCATTCAGACAGCAGTGCTGCTGCTGATTGCTTCCACACAGCCCATTAAAGTGCCAGCCACCCCTGTGTACCTCCGTCCTGCCTGCTATGTCTTCTTGGTTCCCCTTGCCCATCTGCAGGCCTGGGACCAGTTCAGCGGGTACCAGCGTGTAGAGGGGAGGGAGGAGAACGGACACATCTGCTTCCCTCCTCTTCTTGTCCTGACCCAGAAGTAATGTTATGATGTCACTTCCAGGCCCCCCGTTGAGAGATTTCCCGGCCATTGAGGCTGGGAAAGAATTTAAAGCCGTGTATTCTATCCAGTGGAGACATGCAGGGTCTTTTAGACCATTCATATATTGTAATGTCGGAAAGGAAATAAATTTGATTAAGAAGTCACACATGAGCAGTGTATAGAACACATACAACAACCAAAAGCAATGGCAAAT